GTTGTTCACTTTGAACTCGCTTAAGGATGTTAAATATTTCAGCAACTTGGATACTAAGGTTTGTTGAATGAAAACACTGGTATGGTGAGGCCATTCTGGATATCAGTGATGGCCTCTGACCTTTTTATATAACTCAAAGTGGTGGGTGCAACAGCTGTCTCGAGTAATGTACTGAATGGCACAGTGTTAAATGGCACCCAGTGGTTTAACAGCAGCAGCATGAGTACGCAGTTTGTCTCCATGATCCAATGTAGATATAATAGTGCGTTGTATAATGTTGTTTTCTGTTTTGAAGGGAGAGAGAGTAAGGTTCTGGCTATGCTCTTGCGAAATGCATATACTTAGTCTTTTCAGAACAAGCTTTGAATTTACAAAAGAAGTCTGGAGGTTGTGAAAAGCAGACTGTAACCTGGAGAAGGTCTGGTTTAAACAAAGTTTCAGGGTCTAGAAGTCGTCTGCATATGTTTATCCTGGTTTGCATCATATTCAGGATATTGTGTTTACTTGGTAATTAATGTTCCTGTATACATGATCCTATATACAGGTACACTCATACACTCACTAGAGACAGACATTTTACTGGTGGACAGCGACAGTTAAGGATGAACACATTCTGGTTTCTGGCTGCCTCAACTTATAGCTTCAAAATAATATGTAATCAAATCAAAATCAAATGAATCATTAAATTGAGCTGATAACGCATCTGTGAGCATGGCAGAAAGTGATCAGAAACCTGGATAAGGTGCTACAGCATCCTGGTGTCTATTGGTGTACTCCGGGTAGATTATCCTGGTTTCTGAAACTAGGATATGATGTTTACTTTACAGGTATTTGTATCGGCTATATTGAGCACAAACCATAAGCCTGATCTTTTGTTTTAATACGTACAAAAGGTTTTGAAATTGGTCCAGTAGATCGCCTCAGCTGGCAGCCGTGAAACAGACTTCAATGGTTATTGAAAGGCTAATCCTCGCTGGCAAATGCGCCCGTCAAAGTTCGTCCACCAAAAGTCTCCTACACTATTGCCAAAAAACCAACGCTGCACTAAGTGGAAGTGTGATGACAAGAGCCATAAACATTGTTTTAGTTAGATGCAGGGAATTTTTATCTTTATGCTTAATGTCAATGGATTGATTTTAATAATAATTTACAGTGAAAAACAGCAGTTTCTTTTCCGCAGATAAATGTGTTCCAGCCTGCACTAGCCTGTACAGTGGTGCAGTGGCCACCGCAGTGCTAATGCAGGGGGGATGCAGGATAGATATAAGGGAGTTCAGAGACAGCTATCACAGTACTTGTTAGACATGTGTTAGAAGACAGAGGAGGTTACACACAGTTAATCTGATTCAGTATAATGCAGCAGTGGTTTTAAAATCCTCATCCTGTTGCCATCAGGTGGTACTCGCTAAAGCTAGGGCTTTGAATTGCGTATCAGCTGTATTTAGATGTGTTTCGTTCTCATGGATTGGGGACAGGGAGACAGTGTGTTACTGAGACTGAGGGAGTTTCCCTAGGGACCAGCAGGGCCAACGAGTAGCAACCCCCTGCTTTTCTCCCAGGCTTGTCACGGACGCTCACATCTTTGCTGCCCTCACTACCACAAGGGCAGAAAAGATACAAGTATGTATTACTTATTAGGCAGGTTTGTAAGTTTTTTTATTTGGTTATTTTGGCTTTGGGATATCACGAGTGATGGTTACGTCTGTGATTCCTCTCACAGTAGATAGTGTGCAGTGGTCAGTCTAAGTCTGTGGAGGGTTGGACCACCGCATTCGGATGCAGAGGCATGGACACTGGCAAAATTAACACATTAAGAAGATGTCAAAGTCTTTCAGATTACCATTAACCATCTGTCAGGGGAAATCTAGGGAAGTCTGTCTCCAGGGACTTGATAATGAATCCCCATCTGGGCCTGTGTGCTGTATGAGTGCTTGCATGTCTATGAGTACTTGCTCTGTTAATGTCCCTCCTATACAGTAAGCCCACCGTGTCAGCTCTCAGCATCTGTCCATACACTCCTTTGATACTTTGTCTTGTTTCTCACATGGTTGTCCATGTGTGTGTGTGAGAGAGAGTGTTGTACCAACCGTGCTGTTGCTTAATCTCTCAGGATGAAAGATTGATGGCCAGCACTAGCCACATTTAGCTTGTCACAGTGCAGTATAGCACATGCCTCCTGTGCTGTTGTTTACAGTGTAGTGTAGTGCTCTCTTCAGTTTTTGAAGAGCAGGGCCTTTATTTTTCTGTTAATTACATTTTTAAGAGGTATTTGTTGTCGCAAAGAGGCTACAGATGCATGGTTTTGATTGAAAAGCTGCTGATTTAAATCCTGCTGACTGGTTGAGAAAAGCTGCTTGGTGATAAATGATTTTATTATACTACTGACATTTTGTCCACTCTTGTTCTTTTTCAAGACCGGTTTAGCACATCAGGTTTAAACCACTCAGCGTTAGACAAAATGTTGAAATGATACATCAACGTACATTTTGAATAGATAAATTATTGAGACATTTGAATAATGGTAAGAGGTATCATGTTATATATATATTTAAACTGCAACAAGACCCAGTTGTGGTCAAAACATTGGTCGTGGCATAAAATATTTAGAGCTTAGTGTGTGGTAATCTTTGTCCCACTGTACAAAATAAACTCCTCTGATGTGCTGGTTTTGTGTTTCAATCACATGAAGTGCAGTGAAGGACATCCTTGTCAGATTATACAAGCAAACCATGCAATATGGAACAAAAACTGAATGGGCTTTTAATGTGCCTCCTCTTACTCACAACCTATTGTATGTGATTAAGTATGTGTATGTGACACGGTCTTAGTTCATTATAAGTAGAGGATGTATTGCCCAAGGCCTCATTTCACCAGGATTAGGATGATTGTGGCTTCTGTAGGACAGATATCTACCTATCTATCTCCCAAGGATGGATCTTTTTCTCTTTGTCATCTTTGTCTAAAATAAATAGACACTGATCTTTACACTGTTGACATACAGTTAAATGATATATATATATATATATATAACTTTTCCAGCCACACCACTGCATTCTTTTGTGCAAGTGTAGTCTCAGGAAATGAGAAAATAAAACAAGAACAGACTGACCAAGTTAACGAAACAGAAACAAGGGTCAAAATAAAAAAAGGAAACTCAATTTAACATGGAAAACATTAAATAATACACAAATAATATATTATTATATATTGTTCATTCAGAAGATCATAGTGGTTCATTGTGTTTATTCCTTTTATAACAATCATAGATGAGGCCAAGACTGCAGGTAATGTTAAAAGTTGTTTTATTGGTTGGTAGTAGTTGGTTGGCTTACAGATGGCATGACGTGCAGGAAAATGATTAGCATCAGAATATATGTAAAGCACATTTCAGATTAATATATATTTAATTATTGATGCATTCATGTGTACGCATCACTGTAAGGCTAATTATAACTATTTTATATCCTGGTGGGTAGCTTAATAGTAGGTAGTAATAATACATCATAATGTATTAATGATTATATTTATATTATTAATATGCAAAGTAAGTGGTAACTATAGCTGTCAGGTAAATGTAGGGGAATAAAACCAATAAGATTTAACTCTGAAATGAAGTGGAGTAAATGTATATGCATTTATATTTATTTTATGTATAGCAGAAAATATCTCAAATTGTACTTAATTATGTTCCATCATTGCTGAATACCAGCAAGGTAACATCAGTGAAATGTGTGCTAAGAACAACAAAGCAACTCAGGCGATGTGAAAAATAACACTAATGACCTAATGCAGGACAGGTACACAGCCAGGAGACCTGCAGCATATTCACTGAGGACGTCTAGAGGGCAGACAACACATGATCTAAATGATAAACTCTAGACCCACACACACACACACAGAGACTGGAGAGGGACAGAGGCAGGAGAACAGGGAGAAGGTGATGGAGGAGGCGTCACCATGACAACTTTTTGTCCTGGTGTTCATGGCGTGCAACCACAGAAAGCCATCTCTCTATAGCAAGGCTAAAGCTGTCGATATCGCTGTCCACTGGTCTTAAATGATCGTGACTGAATAAATGCAGTGTTGTCCTCAGTGTTAATAAGGGTTGGTTTTTCAGTGACGCATATTTTGAGTCGACTGGAGAGTAGTCGGTCCACTCATGGAGTTGATATGTCTCCAGAGGGCACCTGTTCAATACAATCGAAAAGAGCTCAAATGACTCTGGATTGGTGCCGCCATGCAGACACACCACAGCATGTAGTGTTCAATTTCATCCTAACTGACAGTATTTGTGTGGGAACGTTTTAATTTTGCGGGTCAGATGAAGTGTAAGTTTTCCTCCTGGTGAAAAAAACAACTGAAAAGGAATGAATAACAAGCCCGTCATTAAATATCGAAAAACAGAGTAAGCATTCAAAGACCGGTCCCTTTTTCATTTTTCAAGGTCAGAGCTATTTATAGCGTGGAGTAACCAGAAGAGCACTATGTTGCATCCATTAGCACCAGTCCCTGTTCTCCTGTCGTCGCCGGAGGTATGGGTGGCGGAGCATTCACAGGATTTAAGGCTTACGCACAATGATGCATTCTTGTTAAAAACCATGACTCAAAAACTGTGTAATCCGTCACTCAGCAGATGAGCGCTGTTTTATTCAAATTACGATTGGCTGCCTATTGTTGCCATGGTGACAGTAAGTGGAAGTTAGCCTTATAATGTTGAGTTTCTGTGTGTGTATTTGAGGACACATCCTCCCACTAGGCAGGGGGGTGCTCTCAGTGAGCTCTTACGTAACAACTTGTAGCATTTAGATGAAATATGGATTTTGCTTCAGCGAGGACAGAAAGGCTCCTTAGACAGACATCAGCATAACAATTATTAACACTGAATAAGCAGTGTCCTATGTGACTCATGTGTCACCCCTCTATGCACAATGTGCTAACCTTGTACACTTTATATGTTATTGTATGTTCACACTCTTTGTCTGTGTGTTTGTCCCTTGTAGAGAACCGATGAGGAGGCAGTGGTGGACCGCGGGGGCACTCGCTCCATGCTCAACACCAACTTTGAGAAGGAAGAACTAGAAGGTAACAACCAGATGTGATAATTAACATTTACCTTACACAGTTAATGAGAGTTTAAGTGGAGAAGATTTAAGAAAATGGGCTCTCCAGAGGCACAGTTGACAACAAACTGAGCTTCATGTGTAAAATTAGTGGAGTGCCCTTTCAAGGAAACGCATTAAGACATAAAAACACCATTTACAAACAAGCTATTGTTGGTATTCTTTGTATCTCCAGCCCCATTTTGTTGTGTCGAAGTGTATTTACTTTCCCCTTTGTACTCAAGCTTAACTTAATCAATCGATAGCAGAGGTTTAATAGAAGAAAATCTGTCTGTCCACCTGTCTAAATCATTACCAAGGAATATTAGGTTGTTATGTGTTTTCTTGTGGCATCAAAGAGTGAGGGCTTCCTTCTCTGCACATTTGTCTGCATCAGCATTTCATCCATCATAAAAGAGACAGGGAGCAACATCTTCCCGTCCTTTTTTCTTTATTTTGAACTTAAAAGTTTAAGTTTTGCAGAGAAAAACATAAAAATAAAGGTAAATAGTCCCTGACATTTATTTAAACAGTAATGAATGAGAAAAAGACTGAACAAACAGGAACAGGAAGTATTGCAAATAAAGATAATGAAATAAGTTTCAATAGTTCATCATTAAATATAATGTCTTCATTATACCAAATAATATATCCAATAAGAATAATAAATATATTTCTTTCATACAGGTTATGGATAAAATTGCCACTTTATCCAGATCACTCAGTAAACCTGCCTCTTAGATCAGGCCCAGAATGCAGTGCAGCCACATGACATGTTGTTTGTGTTATAGTACTATAAGTGGCTCTTAGCTGGATCATTTGCACTTACTATTGCTGCTACTATCTCCCCACCTACGCGTGTAAGCCAGCTGAGCTGAAGTTCAGACATATTGTCTGGGAGTTCTTGAAAGCTACTTTGGGAAACACCGGAAATAACAAATAGAGACGGGAGTAGGGAAGGCAGGCTGAGGGAAAGTGGGGACAATAAATTACAATAGTTCATTAGAGAATAACTCCATGAAAGTGCTGAAGATGACAGATGTATCACAGATGATGGGTGTAACTTGTAAAGTGGGTTTACTGGGTGATACTTTTTGTTTTTGCCAGCCACACAACTGTGAGAGAAAGAAGAGAATAAAAAGAACCGTCCAGAGAAAACAACATACAAAACAGAATCAAGGGGCAAATGTCAAATAAACACTAATTCGGTCCCATATAGTACTCAAAAAATATTAACCGCTTGAGTTAAAACACAAGTTATAACTGAAGAAGAATTGGTTTCACCATCAATATCCGCTGTATTTTTGTTGCCAGGCAACGTACGCCCAGGCAGCCGGCAGAGATGTCACTCTTTGATTCTGACACTCTGCCGGTGAGACGGTGCTTTTATCTCAAGGACCCTCATCCTGCAATGATGGTTGCCGTAATGACTAGCTCTCTGTCTGGCGCTGTGGTAACGCTGGCAGTGCGTCAGCACCACGCAGGAGCCGGAGATCCTCTGAAGTTATCTCGGCCCTGTCAGCGCCAGAACTCACCTGCTTCCTCGTTCTCATACACTCACATTTGTGATAAAAGGAAAATGTTAGCATGACATGACTGGTTTCCATTGTGATCCCATGTGGATTTAAAGTCCTGTTCCTACTACATGTCTGAATTATGTTGAATGGTTAAAAAAGAAACAGCAGTAGTAAGTCTGATGGTATTTTTCTTACTGCTGACAAATCCCATGAAAAGATCAAAACCAACCATAAATGTATGCCACGAACAAGTGTTGTCTGATAGTTATTATATAATATATCGACCAAAACTAACAATGTATTAATCCTACTAACAGATTGTGTGTGTGTCAAAGCCTGATAAATCTCATTCTTCTGTGCCATAGAGCTCAATTATTGTCCAAAAACTATGAAAAACACATCAAGGAGCCACACTGTTGCACTAGGTGACATGTTCCTTCATTACAATGAACGCACACAATGCAGTTTGTTTTGACTCACTTCCACATACACCGTCCTGCCTACAGAAATACCCTAGGTGCTAGTCTAGGGTATTTCTTAATGTGGATTAATCCGCTACTGAAAATAGTCCCTAACAAACTGCAAAAAATACTATTTTCTTCTGTTCAAGTAACTTTTGATAATAACTACAGTGACCAGCTGCTTTAGTAAATACCTATAACTATATATAGAAGACTCACAGACCTACAGACTTACAAAAAAATATCATCAATCAATCAAAGTTTTGCTTCTTCCATAATTGTATTGGTCAGAGTAGTTTTTACCACAGCCACTTTCCAGAGATCAAAATATATGTATTGTACAATATTTGAATAGAAATTCTGTGTGTGGACCGTGGTAGTACATTTATTACAACCCACAGTAAGTGGGCTATCTAAATCTATACTTTTGTCACCCTGATTGCACATACTGTAATTACTCTGTTGATCAATTCAGTACATATGACTGATCTATTGGATGTCTCTCCATCCTAAATGCATCTCTCCTCTGTTGCTCTTCCTTAGGTTTCTTCCATTTTTTCCCTATTAAAGGGTTTTGAGGAGTTTTTCCTTCATCTGTATTGAGGGTCTAAGGATAGAGGCTGTTGTATACTGTAAAGATTGTAAAGCCCCTTTAGGCAAATTTGTGATTTGTGACATTGGGCTGTATAAATAAAACTGACTTGACTCGATTCACTTGAGTTACTGCAGAATTAATTTGGAACGAACGGTTGTGCGAAGAGAAGGCTCAAACCCCCAGCCAATCAGCTTTGTGAACCGGTGCATACATGAATACACACGCAAAGACTTAAGGATATGCAACGCCAAAACTCAGCACGTCACACACCACTGCATGAACTCAAGCCATGACTAACTGAAAGCCACTGAGACGTGGCGACAGAGGAGAAAAGAAAAGACTTTCTATGACATCAGCAGTAGTTCGGGCCTGGGGGAGATGAGCTATTTTTGTGAAGTCCTCCACTCAGGAGTCTTGACTCATTAACTTTAAAGCTCTCGTGCTCCACCCTTATGTTTTTTCCCTCGGATACCTCATTGTTGCTGTCTGCTGGAATGTGCCTTTTATTTTGAAATTTGCTTTATGTGCAAAGTCAGCCTCTCCTCTTCCCTCTGCATCTGTGACATACATAATTTACACAATGCTAACAGCAATTTGCTTCGGATGAATGCGTCTGCAGCAGTGTACACTCTGACAGTCAAATACACTCCCAAACGGCGAGTACGTTTTGACATATGGGTAGTTTTCTCATTATGTATTCTCAGACCTGAGTTAACCTCTCCCCTGTATTTCTGTTGGTGGAAGATATTGAGTGAGTGGCTCTTCTCAAATGCAATGATGTCATTGTGCTCTTAGGTGATTCATGTTATGTTTGTGCTTTGCTTAAATCTCATTAGTGTGCCATGATGTGATTAGTTGTGTCTCCAAGCAAGTGAAAACAATTTAAGGCATTCACGTGGGATATTTTCCCATCAGACTGAATGAAAAAATATGGAGATTTCTCAGTGCTACTCTGACAGAAATAAATAAAATAAGCTAATTTATTAGGATTTAACTTTGAAGGCAAGAGGGGTTCCGAATGTTTCTCTGTTCTAAATTAGATTTTTTAGGTTTCAGAAGTATATACAAGTAATATAAATGTTATTTTCTTTTTTCATATCAAATGTACACCATCAAGTAAGTATTAGACTATTTTATTACTTTATAATGTCAGTATACCAAAAAAAAGGCCATAAATTGATGCATCATAATGCACTAATCCAGTAGCCACCTTGATAGACACCTGATACTTTTTGATAAATGTTGTTTTAAGACTTAGAACTTAGAGCTTCTTTCATCTGGACTTTGTTGGTTGAAGGAGTAAAAGGACACTGTTTAGTAAATGAATCAAACAGACAAAAATAGGATTTAGAAAAGTGAGTGGAAATTACACCCTTGATTAGATTACAGTTTAATAAATGCCATGTGGGAATATTTTGGTACATTGTGATTGGATGGCCTGTTCTTTAGCTGTAGTCATACCAACAGTGAATAAAGCAAAATGTATTATTGCCAGTGATCCTTTTGCAATCTGCCGTTATGCTTTCTTCATGGTAAAAAAGAGGTAATGATGAAATAGGAAACCAATTTATTATCCTCGGATCGACCCCATTCTGTAGCTCCCAAGCATCAAATTGCTCTTGGTGTCACATTATGCTGGTCGCTGTGGCGCCTCATATGGTGGAGGAGGCAGATAAAGTGAACAGGGTGTCCGATAGTCTTGTCTGTGTCCGGCCACTGAGCCGAAGGAAGCAGCGGCCGGACAGCTCGGTCGCGGTAAAGTCAGCTCGGATTATCTTCACGCCGACACTGTGGATGCACAATCATGTGTGCACGTACACGCACAGACACGGACACTTTCAGAATCCCAGACTCATTATCTGTGCTGTATTGATTTAAAATGAAAATACTTGTTGTAAAAGTCAAATTTTAAAAAATCCAACAGGTCTTTATTTGAGCACAGATACACAGGAGGGCCCGGAGACAGCCACTGGTTCGTTAAGTGCTGCTTTCCTGGTTCCACTCTAACTGACTACACACCTTGCTACTACCTATTGCTGGGTGTTTTGATAGTTTTTGTTTCACTGCATATTTTTTTCGGGATACTGACTCAGTCACGCCCACTCTCATTGCTCTGGTTGCCAATATTGCAAGCCACAAGCTCTGAAAGCCTATCCACCTTATTCTTAGCCTGATGATACCTTGTGTGAATTATAGGTGCTACTTCTGGTTATTTCTTTCACTGGACTGGATGTCACGCCACTTCTTTTCCTTTTGCATTAATCATGGGTGCAAGCAACCGCAACAACAATACCGCTGGGATTGGTTTTGTTTGCAATCACCGTTCTAGCATATTGAATGTCTGCAATTTCCCATTATTATTTATTTTGTCTAATGCACCTTGTCTACAAGCAGCACAATTTCCTCCCTGCTCCAATTTAGTTTTCTTCTTGTTTCCATTTCAGACAATTTTCAATTATTCTACCCTATTTATTTATTTATTTATATATAAGAAATATATTAGATTGTTGTTGTTGTATTTCACATGTTGATTGCTACGGATGATAATAAATATTTGACACAAATAAAATGAACTTTTTCTGAATCCCTAACGTGGGATGGGTAACACTAGAAAAAGGCTTCTTTAGTCACGAGTTTAAAGGACAGACAGAAGACTCTAATGTTGTCCACCGCATGTTGTCTCCAGGTCACCGCACTCTCTACATTGGGGTTCACGTTCCCCTGGGCAGGAGGTCGCACAGACGTCACCGTCACCACGGACACAGACACAGGAAGAGGTCCAAGGAGAGGGACTCGTCAGCTGATGATGGAAGAGAATCCCCCTCACACAGTAGGTCTTCAGAATGGACTGAATCCAACTCCAGCAAGTTTTAATAGAGTGAAAATATATGTTTCATGGAGAGTTCAAACCAAAGTTTTACCAAGGCACATCAGGTTTTGAATCTTAACCGTTGCATGCTTCCTTCCTCTCCTCCTTTCTCTACCTCCGCTCGTCCTCCGGCTGTCCCATTTGCTGCAGCAGACACACCAGCTCAGAGGGTGCAGTTTCTTTTGGGGACAGAGGATGGCGACGAGGAACACATACCCCACGCCCTGTTCACCGAGCTGGACGAAATCTGCCTCAGGGAGGGCGAGGACGCCGAATGGAAAGAGACAGCCAGGTACAGCGCTGCAGTCGGCCACATGGGCTGGGTCTGGCCAGCTGCGACATTTTTCCTCTGTTGCACCTGAGAGTTTGAGCCTTTTTTTTTTGCAAAGTACTGTGCTTCTGTCAAACACAAATGTATCATGTCTTTATGTATTTACTGAGTTGTGTTTTTAATGTGTGCAGGTGGCTTAAGTTTGAGGAGGATGTTGAGGATGGTGGTGAACGGTGGAGTAAACCCTACGTAGCCACCCTGTCTCTACACAGTCTTTTCGAGCTTCGCAGCTGCATCATGAATGGCACCGTGATGCTGGACATGAGGGCCAACTCGCTGGAGGAGATTGCAGGTGAACAGTCTATTCTGTTTGTGCCTCATCTGAGCAAACAAAAAGTAGTGTTCATAAAGCACTGAATGGTTTAGGGGCAAAATACATTTCTAATTTGCCACTACTGTCTGATCCAGATCCTGATCCTGATTCTGACTGTTACTATTACAGAACATGAATTCAAAAAACTAACATTTCTAACAAGGTAGAGGCCAGGTCAACAAGGCTAACACCATGACATGTTAACTTAGATATTTTGGTTTATAATACTTTGCTTCTTCATTTACAAGCTTGTGGGATCTTTCTAGGAAGGAATAAGGGAACTGTGTTTTAGATTTTGAGGGCAGCAAATAGTGTTTATCTGACTGTGGGAAAAACTGTGCTGCCGCAGATCTGTTGAACTTAACCTGGTTTTGTGCGATTAAATCAGCAGCAGTGGGTCGGTTTTTGTCGGAATAATCAGCTTAGCTTCTCTGGCTTCCACGCAGGGAGAGACACTATCGGGAGCAGCCTTTGTGAATTCAAAATGAACTGTTCAAAGTGTAATGTGGCAACCTACCTTTGTGTGTCCCTTTGTGTGTGTTTTTACTTCTTAGACATGGTTCTGGATCAGCATGAGGCGTCGGGCCCTGTGGGACAGGATGCCAGGAAGAGGATCCGTGAGGCCCTGCTCAAACAGCACCACCACCAAAACCACAAGAAACTGGCAAACCGCATACCTATTGTACGCTCCTTTGCTGATATTGGCAAGAAGCAGTCTGAACCTCATTCCATGGACAAGAATGGTGAGCAAATGGTCTGAACACCCATGCACACCTACACACACACCTGTCAATTGCCAAGACTACAGTCTGTTCTACAGTGTGTAATATTCTCTGCTTTTTCCATGGTGACCATATATTGTGTTGTATGTAAATATAGACAGTTTGTTTTTATGTATAATCTTGTAATCCTTTGCATGATTTTTCCAAAGTGTGTCTCATGTCTCATTTTCTCCTCTTGTTTGTGTTTCTCCGTGTTTGTGTCTGTGTTTGTTCTCGTCTGCTGTATTTTGCATGCGTGTGTGTGCATGCGTGTACTCTTAACCAGCAAATGGACTCAATTATCAAACCTTAAATTCCCCTAAGTGTTTGCCTGAAAAGAAACTCCCCAAGAATGCTCCACCCAGAAGGGCCTTTCCCTGTGTGACATGGCCACGGTGTGTGTGTTGCGTGTCATGTCTGTCCACCCCCCCATCACCTTCGAGCTCCTCCAGGAGCTGTGGCCACATGACCCCAGAAACGCCCTTTGGCGTAACCAAGACCAAACGTCTTAGCATCCTTCAGGCAGTTGCACAAGGCTACTGTCCCATCACACAGGAAGACACAGAAATCTACACAGGCAACCAGAGCGCCTGTAGGCTTAAGCTTATACTAAGCACTAAAAGCTATGAGATAATAGTAGTAATGGTATACAAATGAACTCATTAAAGGGGAGAGTGTCATCATGAGAGGACCGAAATGGGTTGTGTGCAGTCAAGAAGAGAGAGAAATAAAAACCTCTGCATTTTCATACTCATGCAGCTTTCTCTTCGTGCAATGCTCACAGTCGTGATGTTCCTCCTGTTCTATTTTAGACTTAAAAGTATGTTAAGTAGCAGGGTTTTTTTTGTACTTTCAACATCTTAGGAAATCTTTGGGAAAGTGGTAGTCAATCTGCATAATTGTTTATGTAAGTGGCCAAACAGGGCATGTGCAGTGTACCAGTTTTCATGATTATGCTCTCCTCTTTATGACAATAATGTGTTTGATGACTAGAAACCACAGGACATCTGTGACTCTACATTCATAACAGTCACTAATTACTAATAGTGGTAGCTCCTCGCTTTAAATTCATGGTGTAACTTAATAACACAAAATGTATTTTGTTGCCTTTGCAATTTTTATTTAAAGAAACTGTTCAACATTGTGGGAAATATGCTTCACTTTCTTGCAGAGAGTTAGTTATACCACCCTGGTGTTGGTAAATATACTTCTGTCCACTGGCTTTACATTAGCTTCACTGTAGCTTCACAACAGTTATGAACAGACAGCTATGCAAGTGGTATCAATCTTCTCATGTGACTCTCGGCAAGAAAGCATATAACAGTATATTCTAAAGTGTTGAACAATTCCTTTAATTATAGTAATCACACCTTCACTGAAACAGATGACATTTTGAGCAAGCCACATTTTTAGCATTCCCTCCGAGTGCTGTGATTTGCTCAAACAGCTGCAACTGCTGCATTCACATCACAAATTGCTTGAAATTTAAATTTAAAAGGAGCAATCTTTGACTTTGTTTCAGCAAAACTAAACCACACTAAATAAGCACCTATTAGCTGATACACTTAAATTTGAAATGAAGTTAAAGATTGTGCCTCATTTAAGGTTTACTACACTGGATTTGAAAGATTGAGCCGAGCTATAATCACTGTCTCCACTGCCCCACTGAGCCTTCATCAGATGTGTTTACACTCTGAAACACGGTACAATATTGTACCTTTTGTCACTAGGGCTGAACCTTTTCATCAGTAAAGGTACAGCACCTACAACAAAAGGGTCAACTGTTGTATGATATTTTTCGGAGGATGTAACTATACCCTCTAATCACTCACTGGACACCTTTGTCTTTGTGTGGGAAAGTAGTATTGTGATAGGCTGAGCCTCCGTGAACGTTGACATGATGTTGGTTTCCTGCTCTGCCTGACAGGCCAAACAGTCTCACCTCAGTCCCAGCCAGCTAACAATGAGGGCAAACAGGACGTCAGCCGAGAAAACAGTGCCGTGGACTTCAGCAAGGTGAGCAGCCAGACCCACCACTGATCCCGCTGTTTATCTACGGGCACTGATAGCTGGACACATAACTAGTACTGTATGTTTAACCAAGATTGGGTTACGTGTGAAATGGTCACCGTAAGCCTCTTGCCCTGGGAAACTGACTGGAATTTAACAGGAGTAAAGCTTGTTTTCTTTTGTTGTGTGGACCACCAGAGTCAGATCCAACCGTTATTTCTGACTTTTATCTTGATGATTAACTGTAATAACTACTTTGAATCTCAAACTATATTTTAATGGGAGTTTTTTATATTATTAGTCCAAAGATGTAGTGTTGTTATGGTTTCTCTCCGTCTCACAGATTGACCTCCACTTCATGAAGAAGATCCCTCCTGGTGCTGAGGCATCCAACGTGCTGGTGGGGGAGCTGGAATTCCTAGACCGCCCTGTGGTGGCCTTCATCCGCCTGGCTCCTGCTGTGCTGCTCAACGGCCTGGCTGAGGTTCCCATCACCACCAGGTTATACACCAGCTGGAGTCTCCACTGCTCTTTTTTTTCTATCTGTATAGATGAGCTGATAATTCCCTGAGTGCTTCATTAGAAAAGGATTTGACCTTTACCCAAAACTTGTTGTCCTTTCTGTTGCACAGGTTTCTTTTCATTCTGCTTGGCCCTCTGGGAAAAGGTCCACAGTATCATGAGATTGGCCGGTCTATTGCTACCCTGATGACTGATGAGGTGAGTACAACATTATCAAGGCTCAAATTCCAGCTGCAGTGATGCTCTTTTACTCAAAAGTATTAATACAGCAATACTCCATGACAAGTCCAGCATTCAAAATATTACTTAAAGGTAAAAAATAATTATTGGCTAAATGAACTATAAGTATTAAGAGTTGAAAGTACTTAAACTGAGGAAACATTACCTTCAGCTGCAGTCAGCTGCTGGCAAAATAAAATGAAGAAAACTCAAGTTTCATATGAGAGAATCACAGAACTTTATATTTCAATATAAAATGAATGAGCCTATACACATAAATAGCTTTATCTCTTCATGTCCAGCACATCGCCTATTCCTGCAGCTGTGAAAATGATTCTGACGCATGAGTAATTTATTTATGTGCTTGTCTCTGTTTTTAATAATTTAAAGAGCAAATCTTTTTCTCAAAGACGTGATTTGAAGCTTAAAAACAGCTCTAAATCGAGCTGAAACTTATTTTAGATGCTTAATAAAGACAGCAGTAAGAATATTTCAACTTGTTTTTAATCTGAATCTACATTTTGTAGAGATTTTGTACAAATTTAAAAACAGATTGAGATATTCCCAGTTCATGAGCAGATTGTTTTTCAATTTTTAGGAGAAACGTATAATTTTAGCCATTTTAGCTTGGACTCATTTCCAAATAAGTCCCATCCAAGGCATCTTACTTTTGGTTTGGTTATATATGGCATCAGGGCAGCTTAGGGACCAGTCCACCTACCAGCTCTACAGTTGTTTTTTTTATAACTCAACCTAACCTTTGACCTCAGGAGAAGCGTTTGGGGATCAGCAGAGTATGACATTAAAACTGTTGCAGGATTTCCCACAGTGCAGCTATGAGCTAATGTTACTGACCATCATCAGAGCCAGATGTTGCCCCTTTTTTTTCGTTAACAGCGTCCTCTGGGATGTATGAAAATAGAAGAGTATGGATGTCAAATACTTCATCATATATGGGAATGAATTGTACCCATCACTGTGATTTCCTTAGATATTCTGTATTCCATATAAATAAACTGTTTCTGATTATGGGATACTTTCCATCGGAATATTTCACAGTTGTGTTTATGTTATGTATGGAGATAGGAAAAATCAGAATCAGAATCAGAATCAGAAATACTTTAATAATCCCAGAGGGAAATTATTTTCGTTACACACTCCAGATATACAAATGACATATTATA